GGAAGGAAGGAAGGAAGGAAGGAAGGAATGAAGGAAGGAAGGAAGGAAGGAAGGCTTTTTCCTGTAGCAGCAAAACATGCCCCAGAATACTGATATTTCCAACAATAAACAGAGAAGTAGCTGTCTAACCCATCAACATTCTGGGTTAAATAGTACATTTATTATCTTATTTTAAAAAACTCCAAAACAAGAAGAAGACAGGCCCAATGTGACTATTACTGTTCCTGCAGACAGTTGCTTCCTCAATATTCTGCTTTCAGCCAATACAAAAAGTCTGCATGCCTCAACCAAGGCAACAAACTGATCTAAAGAGGTCCCATTCATGCGTTTGGTCTATAGAGAGGACAAACTAAACTGAGATGACAGTTTTATTGTTCTTGTCACATGTCAGATCACCTTCAACGTATGGTGACCCTATGAATGAGTGATCTTCAAAATGTCCTGTCCTCAACTGCTCTGCTTGGCTCTTGTAAACTCAGACCTGTGGCTTCCTTTAGGGAGTCAATCCATCATGTATTTGGTCTTCCTCTTTTCCTGCTGCCATCAACCTTTCTTAGCGACCTGTCTTTTCTAGAGAATCTTGCCTTCTCATAATGTGTCCCAAACAGAACAGCCTCAGTTTCATTGTTTTTCCCTCCAGAGACAGTCAGGTTTGAATTCGCTCTAGAAACGACTTGTTCATCTTTCTGGCAGTCTATATCTGCTAGTTGTCTGTCTTCAAGAACAAGGAATATCACATATAGCTTGGTTTTAGAGATGTTCTGCCTCTTGCCTTTTTTCCAAACTTGAAACCAACTAGGGTTTTTGAGAACTTGATACCTCTCCTTGTTTGTAATTTCTCAGAGATCTAGTAGAGATCAAGTAGATTTTGTTTTTATGTATGGAGCTTCTTTCTCCTTTCTCTAAGGTCCCTCCTCCTAAATAGAAGGATGCAGACTCATATGGCTTCTCCATAATGGCTGCACAGACACCCAGCTTCAGGGGCTTCTGTAACTAAGTTTAGAGGTCGTTCTCCAGTGCTATCCCTGAACTGATTTCCTAAAACAATAAATCTGTTTTCTATTTTAACTCAGTTTTAAGGTACAGGGTACTTACTCCTTAGGATCAGTACTAACATGTTGCACTCTCTAGCTCAAATACCAACTATTCTTACACTAATGAAACATATTTATTTATCAGAATTTGTTAAAACACCTTGTTAGATGAAGAAGCCCAGTGACTGGTTTAAGGCAACTTTCTATGTTCCTAACTCCCATTTCTCACCTTCTTCTCTTAACTACTGATTATCCATTTGGAAAGCTTTAGAAGTACTACTCAATTATCTTTAAATCTGAGTATTTGTATGTAATCGATAAGCTTATCCTGAGACAATAACATGTCAGATGTGTGACAATTCAGTTGTGACTGCCAGCCATGTTCCTAGCACATGCAGATGCATTATAAAGTACTTTTTTTTCATTCACATCATTATCATTCAGCATTTTAAATTTTGCTTTCACACATTGGTGTTTCAAGACATAAACCATTTTGAAAAACTATTCTAATATCAATGGAATGCACCTACATAAACGCCATATTGCTTCCCTGTTATGTCTGTGATTAACCAGACTTTCAGTCAATCACTCATTTCTCCTTAACATCATGTTAAACTGCCATACAATTCTGTCTGCTATGAATACATTCATTTTTCTAAAAAGAATGCAGACTCCTTTAAAAACATACTTAAGAGATGTGCCTCCCTTTTACCTCACGAATAAGGATTTTATGTTTAAAACAATGCACAGGAGAGGATTGTTATAATGAAGATAAATATTTTTACCCCACTTTTTTGCTTGAAAAGGACTGAAGGCAGCTTACAACAATGAAGGGCAATATTTAAAGTGGAAACTAATAAGTATATAATGGTGGTTAACATCATTAAAAAGAGATATTTAAAAATTATGAAGAACAGCATCTTACTAAAGCAGCATACTGGTTCAAGCATTTTATGGAGGAAATTACCTGAGTGTTTTCCATACATCAAAGCCATCCAAAGGTTTTGTGCCATTTGTACTTCCTCCAGCGAGCTTCACCAGAGTTGGCAGCCAATCAGAAATGTGGACCAGATCATGGCTTTCCACTCCCTTTTGTTTCAGTAAAGGACTTGCAACGAATCCGACACCTCTCACTCCACCTTCCCACAAACTCCATTTCCTTCCTCTTAGTGGCCAGTTATTTCCACCTGCCAAAGTTTGGCCTCCATTATCTGAAACATATTTAATCATATGCACAAAGAAGTCAAGTTGGAATATTAATGGTATACACTTGCATCTGTATGTGTAGAATGGATAGGTCTTTTGGAACATATCCACATTACCTGGTAATAGCAGTATAATTCTCAGGGCCAAACCCTACAGAAACTTTGGATCTACATTTCGAAGAAAAACATGGGACAGGCTCATCCAGACAGCTGCATGGGAACCCCACTAATCGCATTTCTGCAGCTTCAGAGCAGCAAAAATAATACTGGCAATCTAACATGGGTGAGCAGGGAGATAGGAAGCAGATACTGTATAATGGTAGGAGCAGCTCACAACACACGTATACTCATAACGATGATGTAAGCAAGGTAGCCAAGAAAACCTATCACTCATATTGCCTCGGATGAGTTCTCTTCACTAGCCATTTGAGAATCAATATTCAAATCTATCATAAATAAGTGACTGCAAAGCTTAAACTGGCAGTACAGAATTTGTGTCAGTCCTGATGTCTACATCCTAGACTGTGCCAAACTGTAAGTCAACTGCAAGCTCAGCTGTCCCTTTCAGACTAACACGCTTAGTGAAGTCATCATCGACAAAGCTGTGAAATCTCCCCTCCTAAGCCCATCCACAATTGCATGTGATAATCTTTAGAACAGTGTGGATTCAAAGTTCTCAGTATGCAGGAAATGCATGATGGTATACATCATTATTTCCAGGGTTGGTGGGAGGGGCGTGGCAAGTAGCCATCTTAGTCTGTTGTTCCAAATACAGCAAATAGTTTTGGGGTACCGTAAAGCCTAATAAGTATTATTTTTTATTAAGTGAGTAGTTAGAATACCAAGCATTCACGGACTCCAGCCCATTTCTTCAGATGCAAGGACAAATGAAGCTCATCTGATGTCAACCAAACACTGTCATTATTTTCAAGACTTGTGTCCCAAAGGAAATGTTTTGTTTCAGTCACAAATGTAAAGCGATGAAAGATGGATCATGGATCACCATTACCAGTTCACACAGTTCATTCAGCTAAACCTCTCTAAGGTGCTTTGTGAGTTGAACAGCTACCATTTCGAAAAGGCTGCTCTAGGCTCCCCTCGCCTCCATTTGCATAGTGTCCTATCTAGAACGTGGTTGATCGGGATCTTTCTATTATATTTATCCTGTTACTAACTTATATCAGTGGAAAGGTGACGGCTTCAGCAGCAGCAGCAATCTTCAGTACTTAAAAAACCTTCTACGTCTGTATTGCAGCTTCTCCAACTCCTGTGTAATCCCTTTTAATTGCATGGATGCTGTACGAGCCTTGAGAAGAAAGAAGGAAGTCTTTAATTACCAAAAGTCTGCTCCTGCCAATAATGTCATCTGGTGACAGTAAATTTAGGTAATTAAAGACTTCCTCCTCCCGTCCAACAGCTCCCACAGCTTCTGCACAATGGAAGTGATTACACAAAGTGTCAAAAAAGCTGCAGAACAGATGTGAAAGTGTGTAATTGCCTCAATTGTCAAAAATTGTCCCCGTTGTTGACATCACCCTTTCACAATAATAAGTTACACAACAGGATTTCAGCTGCGGATAAGAATACAGTCCTCTACACGCAAGACTACTGATGAAAGTCCTAGTGAGCTGTGCTAACTATAAACCCCAAATTTTGAATCCTTATAGTTCATCAAGTGAGTTGCATTAATTATGAACCCTGAAATGTTATAGTCATCCAGTTGTGGTTGCATTAATAGTCATCCAGTTGTGGTAGCATTAAAATGCAGGGTCTGTATACAAAATGTTACACAGCTGCTACTAAACTCTGGCATAGCTTCTGAGGGGACATCAAATTTGGGGGTTCATTATTAACATGCTGTCCCCAGTGGTCATCATGTTTCACACTGTCTTGATGGAGTTGCAAGTGTATCTCAAAATGGGACAGCTGAATGAGAACAATTCCCTTTCACTGTGTCAGCTAGATTGATGCTATTCCTTGTGATCTGCTTCCTTAGATCTATGGAAAATTAAATGATTTGTGTTTCATGCATTCACATGAATGTTTTTACACCTCACAAGTTTGATTCCTGCAAGAAAAGTATGCATATCCTGAAAAAGACTTAAAAATATATGCACATGACTTCATAGTTCCACTTTACTGATTTTAAGGAAAGATGCCAAAGCCTCAAGCAGTTTTTATGCAATTATTAAATGCATGCATGTGTAAAATGAATACAAAATGAATACTTCTGTAATAAAATTATTTTCTTCTGGACTGTGATTAGCATATACTCAATAGACTTTCTTGAAGATCACAGGCAAAAGACATGATGTATATAAAACTACAGTATATTCTGGAACATAAGAGGAGAACGTAGATAACTAAAATAGAGCAATTTCTTCTTATTTCATTGTCTCACTTTCTAAAAAGATGGATTCTGAATCTAATTAAGTTATATATAGAGAAAGAGAGACCCATATTTGAAGGCATTAGTTTTCTGCACTACAACTTCCAGAATGCCCAGCAGCATGGACTGGGTCAAACAAGTAACATTTCTAAATTGCGATTTGTAACCAGGTAATGAGTTGCTAAATCTCTTACTAGAATTGATAAAAGAAGTCAGGATACTCTTATTTCTGCTCTTCCTTCTTCGGAAGACTTGTCAGGCACCCAGTGTACCACCTCCTGGTACAATGGGCACATAAAATTATAAAGGAGATCACGATTACAGGCACAAACTGACTTATTGGAGTGAACATCTTTTATGAACCACAAGGTATTAAAATACAAATGCATGGCCTAGAATAAATGAACCTTAAAGACTCTGCAAGAATTTGAAAAGCTCACGGAATGAACTTACTTCTCTATATGGTCCAATATATATTTGCACACATAGGCAAATTTTGAAATTACATGGGAAAGAAAATATCCAGACATACACATTTAAAGTTATGCACCTTTAAAACAACAACAACAACAACAAAATAGATATTGCCTGAAATCCAGTAGCATAAAGTTAGGCCTCTGTAAATCTAACAACAGCAATGGTGACTATTTTTAGAAATTAAAGACAACCACCACCCTGTTCCAAAGTATCCAACAGCTTCCCCAGGACAAAAGGGACCCCCAAGAGAGCCTCAGGACTCTTGGAGGGGTGGGGAGTCTCAAACTTTTAGTTCCTTAAAAAAAACCTAACTTAACATAACTTTATTCTACTAGACTTCAGCCATCATAATTTAAGTGGGTTTCTAAGCTTGGATGCTGAGGTTTTTTTTTTCTCCCATCAGACAACAACAACAACAAAAATGTAAGCAGCCTATGTGAAGAAAAGTGTGTGTAAAATTATGTAAACTACTTTCTTTGTCTTAAAGGCAGCCTGGAAAATATATAAATTGAAAGATAGAGAAGAAAGTTTTTACATAAGGAACTTCGATTGGTCAAGATGTCATCAACTCTGTAATCACTTTGATCCTTTTCACCAGATTCAAGATGACAGGCCATAATAAAATGCCAATGATGGCAGGTAAGAAATCTTCAAAGGCCTCCTAAAGAACCTGAAGTACGTCTACTTTCATTAGGAAAGTGGATCATGGTTAACCATATCACTGTTGTGCAGAGTGACATAATCCCCCAGAATTCCTCATTGTGGGCCTCTGAGGTAATTTGATCCTGTAACCTGTTATTTGAAATACAAACAGCTTACAAGTCTAAATTTCCTTTCAGAGTGACAGTGGAACACAGGAAGAACTGGGGATACCTGGCTTTAAAAAAAAAAGGGGGGGAGTATATCTAAATTCTGTGCCAGAGAATGAGTACTAATGCTACTTTTTGAACTAGTACACCTCTTAGAATCCTCAGCTAGCATTTTAGCATTTTTATGGTTCCATTCTGTGCCAAGATACCTCTTCCATGCAAATTTAATTTATTCTGTCCATTTTCATCCGTATTAGCTACATTCATATCCTGCCTCTCCTCTAATAAACTCAAGGGAACATGCATGGCTCTTCCCTTCCCTTATGTTATCTTCACAACGATCTGGTGTGGTAGATCAGATGAAACAAAAGGAATTAGGTCAAGATCACCCACTGGGTTTCAAAAGTCAGAAAGCTCCTCTTCTACTCCAAACTGAACTTAATGCTTAATCCTTAACATAAGGATTTCACTGCCACAAGATGATGGCCAATGGTTAGGATGGCTTTTCAAAAGGGAGGAAGCCCTGTCCACAGAGGCACTGACAGTGGCTGTTTACTGGGAGACAAGAACAGCGACTACAACTTGAAATTCTTGAGTCCTCGTCCAACATTCCCAGGAGACCATACTAGCTCTGTAAGGATTCCCATGCTAGATCACAGCAAAGTCCATCATAGCCAAGTATTCTTTTTCTAGTGGCCAAACACAGAGATCTGAGTGCTTCCAAGTCTCACACAATGGTAACTACTACAGATTGACCCTAGCATCCAGTAACAGTGGGAAATTACCATTAAGTCATTAGAAAAATATTCTTAATGACATGATGTCCAATCCATTTCGACCTGTGGAGTCCTTTCCAAAGTTTCCAAGGTATAGAGGCCTCAGAAGTGGTTTACCATTCCCATCTTCTGGGGGCCATCCTGGGACCACATAGCTTGCCCAAAACCATACATGCTACAGTGGGGAATCAAACGTCCAACCTCTGACTGTCGCACCTAGTGCTCCAACTCAACCTGTAATCCAGCCAGCCTGTTAGAAATAATAACAGCCATTTTCCTCCATGGGTATGTTTTGTTCCCTTTCAAAAAATCGTTTGAAAATTTAAACCAACTGGCCACCTGACATTCCATAGCAGTGAAAACTCATCAATTAAGTATGCATTTATACAGAGTCTGACTTGGACTGGAGATGTCTTTCTCGAAGCAAGTAAATGGACTTTGAATCTGTCCACTGCTACAGCACCATGTTGAATACGTGGCAATTAAAATGTGTTTTAATACTTACGTGTTTCCTTAGTGGTTTCAGAGTTTCTGTTTTAATATGGAACTAAACAG